TGTAAGGCGGTAAAAGGGTAATCTGTGAAACAACAATACCGTGGGCTGACAGGAGACGCAGTAATCTAGGCTGGACCAGCACTATCCTTAAACAGAGTGTTCTGTGTCGGAAAGATTACACTGTAAGCTCTGACACCATAATGGTCCTGACACAAAGACACATACACACACTCACAAAATTGCTTTGGCCTGCTGGAGCTTCTGCAAGGGTATCCCTGTTCACAATGTAGTCTTTAGTGGGAGAATGCATTGATAGGAATCTGACTGAGGTCTGCTGACAACAATTAGCAGAGAAGGAGGGAGTGATTGAAACTGAAAAATAAATGAGATGCACTGTGAGAAATGATGAGAAATGTGTTAATTTTGTTGTGCGCGCTGTTTGTCCATGCATTCAAGTGTTTACTGTCCTGTGAATTAATGTTTAGGCAAATGTGTTTTCTTGGATTTGACTGCAGAATGTGTGACTGCAGTAAATTAACTGTTACATCTCTTTACATGTTTTGTTTGTTTATCTGTTTTTGTCCTTCTAGAAGTTTCTTCCCTCTATTTAGCTGTAGTTTGTGAGGGTTCATTCATTCATTCAACCCATACACACACACACACACACACACACACACACACACACACACACCTCCTAGGGCTGGCCCTATGACAGCAGAGATACTCTCTTCTGACTGGGTGCCCTGTTTACATATGACAATGACAAAAGCAAAAATGTCACAAACAATAACAAACATTAAGGCCCCTGTTTTAATCGTGCAACCACAATGACGAGCGCAAAGCAGTAGGCCTTGAATGCACAAAAGAGCTGTATAGATATATAGATCAGAGGGCGTGGTGATTAACAAATATACTCACGCAGCCAGTCACATCACTGGTGTTCGTTACAGTGACACATGACGTCAACAGCTCGACAAATAAAAAGTGGGTTCCACAGAAAATCATATTGTTGTCTGGATGGTGCAGTGCGGCATGATACATAGCATGACAAATCTGCAGCCAGCAAGGCCGGCGGGTGGTGTGGTTTTTCATTTTGAGTTGTACAGTGATGATAGTAATAAAAAATATAATATGTTGATGAAGCCATTTATATGGAGACATCAATCTGACTATTTCAATTTCAGTTCTACTGTATCTGATGTCATAAGCTGTCACATCATATCTTAAAATGCGACACTGCAGCATTTGCACTGTTTTCACGAATAAAACGTGAAACACCACTTTTGCTAAAGTGATGGCTGGAAAAGGAGGCAGTGACTCACGAGATTGATAAACCACTCAAACTGAGTTGTTGTGGTGTGTGGGCTCATTTTGTTGCACCCTGGTTTCACTTCCACGTGATTTAGTCAAGGTAAACACAGTGGACAGCTGTGCTTTATAGCTGTAGATTCATCAATGTGTCATGTCCTGCTGCTTTCAGATTTTGCAGGAATTTAAAGTCATAGTTCTGGTTATTTGACGTGGGGTTGTGTGAGGTACTTATCCACAGTCAGTGCATTACCTGCAGTAGGTGTACTTTGGCGCCCGCCCACTTTGGAGAAGCAGGCAGAAGTACTGGCCCAGAAGCTGAGCAATGTAGTGCTCTGGACAGGGACAGCAGAAAAAAAACATCGCTTTATCTTGCCATCACACCGTCCTTTATGAGTCTGATCTGCAGCATAATACAGTGTGCGGCGTAAGTGCGCTTATTTGTTGGAGCACAGAAGTTCAATAGTTGAGAAATTATAGTGCCAAAGGAAAGGCCTGTTGGACCGCAAGATAAAGCAGTGAAAATATTCAAAATATATTGTTCACTTAGACTGATATTGATTTTTTTAGGTAGCTAGAACGTTTTATTCTGCTGTCCCCATCCACAGCAGCACACTACTCAGCATCTGTGCCTGCTTCTCCAAAGCGAGAGCACAGTGACTTAAGTCTACTGCAGGTAATACACTTACTAGGGATAAGTGCCTCATACATCCCCATGTCAAATAACCCAAACTATCACTTTAATGAACTAAAGGAGAATCTCTTCACACTGTTTAAAACAAGCAGTAAACTCATGCAGTGATACTAGGAACTTGGCCACAGTGATGTCACCACAAAAGTGAACAGACAATCTAGCGATAAGTGTATATATACTGCAGCATATTGTTAAGATGACAAGGTGATCATGCACAGGTGCGTAGGAGAATTGGCGGGAGCAGGAACCAGGAAGCCACACCCAGCATGTCCACATACACAAACAGAGAGACGGACGCAACGGAAACAACGGGAAGGGGAACACAGTGAAAACAGATGGGAGTGGGCGGAAGGCAGAGCAGAACCCTAACATTGTGCTGCCTCTAAAGTTCACATCACATTCTGTCTGAACACACCTTCAGATTTACAGTACCTAAATCAGCTCCTTATCGAAAGTCTTCATCTAGGCCATCCTCTCTGTCACATTTTATAGTCTCTAGAATCAGGTATCTTCAGTTCTCTCTCACTAATGATTTTATCTTTCTCCTGACCCTAACAGTTTGAGGCGTCTGTGAATGAGGGCTCGACGGGGGTGGTGGTCAACCTGACAGTAGACGACAGAGATGATCCAGCCACGGAGGCGTGGAGAGCGATCTACTCTATAATAAACGGAGATCCCACACAGAGCTTTGAGATCCAAACCAACCCAGACAATAATGAGGGAATGCTGTCAGTTGTCAAGGTAAAGTCAATGAGACTTCCAAATGCATTTATATATTGCACTACACAACATAATCATCCTTCCATTACCTTACCAACTATTTTCCCCATTCAGCCTCTGGACTACGAGGCCACAGCGTTCCACACACTACTCATCAAGGTAGAGAATGAGGATCCTCTGGTTCCTGATGTTGGCTACGGCCCCAGCGCCACAGCCACTGTCCATGTCACAGTCCTAGATGTCAACGAGGGTCCTGTCTTCTTCCCGGATCCCCTGACAGTCACCAAGATGGAAAACATCCCTGTGGGCAGCTTTGTGGCCTCACTCAATGCTACAGATCCAGATATATTACAGATACAAAACATCAGGTAAGAGTCGAAGTGAGACTAATTGAAATCGAGCTGCAGAATATCACTTGCCTTGTGTATAAGCAAATGAGATGCGAAAAAGCGTGAGAGAGAGCTTGTTTGTGTTGTGTGATTTAATGTCATCTGCTGTAGCTCGGAGCTCAAAATTGTCAGTAATGAGCTTTCTGATTTTCATTCATTTTCTCGCTGTTCAGTTGAACAGTATTATCAAGAATGGCTTGCTAATGAAACTCTTTGAGAAGGACTTTTAAAGCCTTCTTTCATATAAAAGCAGGTTTTGTTATGTCAGCGGTTTGCTATATTCTCCCTGTCAGATGATTCTAACAAGGTGATCTGGCATGTAGCAAAGTGCCAAAGAACCACAGTTTTAGCTTGTCAGATCATCATTTTCCTGCTGTCTTGACAACTCAATCTGTGGGTTCTCACCTCTGTCATGTGTTTCTGAGCCCTCATCATGCCGCCTTTTTATCTCCTCATCCCGATTCCATTCCTATATTCTCCAGTGTTTCCTTTGCCTGTTGCTGCTGCTTTCTGTCTGTGTTGTGTAAACAGATGAAATATATTGCCTGGACAATCGGCAATTTACTGACACAGGTCAAACCGTTCACCTCAGTCAACCGTAAAGTCAAAGTGGGGCAGCTCATTAATTTTAACTCTGTTACAGAAAAAGCCCTCTCTCAAATATTACCATCATAACAGGAAGGCTATTAGTTTCACTATGTGCTACAATAAAAATTGTTCCTCTTGCTGCCAGACGGAGCCCCATAGCGTGTGCTGCACTTTCTTTTACAAGATGGAAAAGTCATCATTGCATTTATTGGCTTTCAGACCTAATTTATACTCAATTTAGATAGCTCTTTTTCTGCACCCTTGGCGTTATCCATCATGTAAAAATAGTGTTAAGTAAACACATGGGGGATAATAATGACCCAGGGAAATAAAACCCACCAGATCGTGACTTTACTGTAAATTATTGATTGGGCTTTATGTACTCTAAAATGTGTACTCACTTTGTCAGTATCAAATGCTACATAACAGGAGTTAACACTGAGATCACGAGTCAACCAGTGGTCACTGTTACAGCACACCTTTGTACAGTATGTGAAGTATGTCCACTTGTACGAGGCTAGCAGCGTTTCGACGCAGAGAGCGTTCAGCCATGTTCTTCTCACATGCATTTGAGGGAACAGATAAGTAGTGACTTATTTTACTCATGCTGTATCCACTTTACCACAACCTGATGCTTCAAGCATATTTTATTACATTTTACATGAGTAACCATAATGACTGTGTGTTGGGCTCTGAACACTTCCAAAACGTGGGTGACCTGCACTCAGCACTGTGCTTGGACACTTCCTGTGTAGACACGGATGGAGCGCTGTAGCTCCGCCTCCTGAGTGAACAGCCGTGCTAGCTGCTCTGTGGGACATTCCTTAGACACCGAGGTGTTTTGAGCTAACTGCTAACGTCAGCATGCTAACATGGAACAATCCTTGAGCAGATATAATGTTTAGTGTGTTAACCATAATCGTGCATCGTACTAAATATAAAGTATAGCAGAGGCTGAGTGGAATTGCAAGTATACGGTCATAAACCAAAGTACAGGAGAAATAATATTATTACAATTCATCGTGAGGATACAATTAATGTGTGTAATAAATTTCATAGCAATCCATCCAATAGTTGTCGAGTCATTTCACTGAAAACGTCACAGGATCACCAAAGTTGTTAGGATTCATCCTGGCACCAAGGATATATGCACCAAATTTCAATAGCTGGGGATATTTTTGTCTGGTTCAAAGTGACTGACTGGCACTACCATCCATGGAGCCCAGCTGCAAGCATGGCTTAAAGGATTCTTAGATCAGTAGTATCCTGTAGGTTTATTCTAAATTGATACCATTGGAACCACAATTGATATAACTTAAAGTACAAATGTATATGCAAAGACATGAAAGTTAAAAAGCAACCAGCCAATGTAAACAGTGATTTTATGTATCAGACTATCCAGGAGTGAGGGAAGCCTCAACCAAACCCAGTATGAGGTTTATATTCTTTTTCTTCATTCTGCATTCAGTCTTGCATCTTATCTACTTGTCCTTCAGTAACACATTCACCTCTTCTGAATAGCACTCCAACAGAAAAAGTTTCCACTCATGCAAGACTGAAGTTTCAATAGAATGTTGTCATTGAATAAACACTGAACAGCATAACAGCATGATTTTCTATATTACTCGCTCAGGTTGATTTTTAAGCTATATTGATCACATAAAAGTGTTCTCTCAAGATTTTGGTGATGTTTCATCTATCTATAGCCACAGAGGGCTCTGAGTTTTTGACATCTTCGTTGCATCTTTGACTCATCTTCCAAGACATAGATCTGTATCTTTCTAACTTTATCCTTCCTGCTCCTCTTATCTTCCGCATACATTTCTGTATTTATTTCATGGCCTCTGTGTTTGTTGTCATTTTATCCTGTGACATTTTGGGAATAACAGTGATTTTGAAGTGTCGTAACTGTGACCTGCAGATTGAGGATACTGGGAAAGACAGACAGTTGGAGAGTTGGAAATGCAGAGGTAGCACACACATAAAAAACAAAATCAGATCTGTTTACCTTCCTCGCTCCTTCCCTTTCTGTCTCTGCATAACTGTGCAAGTATCGTGCGTGCATGCATGCATGCATGCACGTCTATCAGTGTGTCTGCCCCTGGGATGCGTACATCAAATGCATTTGACATAGTACACAATCGGTCTGACTTGCTGCTCAGGGTCCTGCACAGTGACTGTGAATATTTGTGAGAACAACATTCATGCTTTAACCATTAACCTCAGATCCAGTTTGTTAACACAGAGAATGATAATGCACATAAAGAGACCTACTCATGCCTACTTTATATTTTCTATAACTGTCTGGTCTGTGCACTTTTTGTTAATAAACAGCATGTGGAGAAACACAGGGTCATAAAGTGGCCAGCTGCTAAATTAACTTAAGCAACTCAACTCACTGCTTAGGCCTGTTGTTACCTGGGGTCCTCCTGTGAATTACAATAATTGGAGCGGTCATCCATGTTCTTAAATCTGTGCAAATCTGCCATGTGTGACATTTCTGGGTAGCAGCTCGACCCAAAAGCAGACCCTGGTCCCACCCAGACAGAATTAACACTCCAGCGGGAAATGAAATATTTGCCATGCTACTTTAACTCAATTCATCAATTCAGGTGGCATTTTAGCCAGCGCCAAATTACAGGAGGCTGCTCATCACATATTCTGCTGAAAGCTCACGTGTCCCTTGTCACGAGCTGAGCTGATTAAACTCCCTAAAAGGAAGCTCAAGTCTTCGTGCACATAACCTTACCGATGCTTGCTGTGTTCCAAGTCCATACTACATACTTATTGCATACAGTATTTACTATACACTAATTGTAATTTTTGCAGCTAGTCTACAAAAGATTTCATAGTCATTTTTTATTTGCTGTGACATTCACAAAGCTGTTCCACCACCATCCACAATCAGTCATAATGTTTTCCTGCTGTGAACAGCTCCATCATTTTCGTTGTGCATTGCACTGTGGGAGAAACGTGTCCATCAAAAATCGAGCATTTTTAATATGCATACTGACTTTTTTTGAGCATATTTTATTTTGTCACTTTTCCAGTGTGAATGCATAACATACTCCAAACCCACTGAGGACACACTGACTTTAACTTTAAAAGCCCTCCACACCTGTGGTTCCCCTCCTCTTGTGTTTTCACTTATTTAACTGATTAGACCTCTTCTCAGTACTGTTTTACCAACATCTATCAAACCCTGTACAGTTCCTCCTGGTTCATTGCAGCAAATTACACATTTTAATATGATTGATCACCACTTGCAGTTTTAAAATCACACAACGTCCCCTATAGAAATATAATCAATGAGCACTGCAGGAAAATTTGCTTGTCACACACACACACACCCAAGCAGCAATTCAGCCAGCATTCATTTTATTATTTACACCTGTGCTTCTCCTACCGTCAAAATGTCTTCTGTGAATGAGGTCTACTGTCAAGGAGTCAGCAATGTGATAGCGCGTAATAAGGCACAGGGAAGGTAATGGCAGTGGCTCAAATGCTAACAACAAAATCAGAGAATAATCTGCGGTAACTTTTGTCTGTACATACTGAAACACTGCTTAGCCAATGCAGCACAGGTGCACATGCAGGTGGTGATGACAGCAGCAGTCAGGTGACCTACAGCTGCAGGAAGCTCACTGAGGACATCTGGAGGGCAGGAACACAATAGCAAAAGGGGGAAAGTGGTGTAGGAGTCATTATGACACTTTGTCCATAAGCAGTAAAGATTTCACTACAAATTACCTAATGAGGCATAAATCACTGCAGTTTCAGTCTTCATACATGTTTTACACAGGATAACAGAATGAAGATCAAGCCTGAAGACGACTTTAGTTTGAGGTCCAATCACTCAAATTGATTGATTCAGCAATTGATTGTATTTGAAGTTGGAGAATGCAGGAATAAGCTACAAACCGCTGTAGCAGTAAGAAGGACCAGGCTGTGCTGTGAAGGGTTCTCATTAGCCTGATTTCTAGCCCACAGCCAAGCAGGGTTAGTCAGGGCTATCTCATTATCCAGGTTATTACGCATCTTTCCTTTACCTATTTTTTTCCTAATGTTGTTAAGGAACAGGTTATTTGCCCGCAAGGGTGTAACATTTCAGCCAATAAATAAAATCTGTTACACTTTGACCACAAACACTTTGAAGTAGCCCAGATTCTGATGAGCCCCAAACGGTCTCACAGTCGTTAATGATCTCATCACTTCTCTGCCTTCCTTTCATAACTTTGATGATGTGAAGGGAAAGATTTTCTGGAAGAGATATAATTAAATCAGAATGATAAAAGAAATGTTCCACACAACATCTACCATTCACATGAGTCACATGATGCAACTATTAATAGTTTCTTTTTTAAATATTAAATAGCATTAATTAAAACATT